ACGAGAAAGCAATCAGACAAATACAGACCCGAGACACCACTACTCAGAACAAACGCCCTGGTCCTTCCTGCTTTACGATAAAGGACACACAGCTGTATGACATGTGGATTTTGCAAAAACGCACTGTAAAAATGGTGTCTGAGATAATCATGAAATTTAAATTTAGATGATATCGAGGGATTATTGTTAATTTTGTTAGGTAAATAATGACATTGTAGAATGTAAAAAAGTTATCAACTAGGAATACCAAGTGAAATATTTCAGGTGAAATTATATCTAATGTTTGCTTTAGATATAGCAGGATGAAAGGAAGGGGTAGATGAAACAAGGCTGGCAGAATGTTGGTAATTGTTGAAGCTAGGCAATGGACACCTGGAAGTTCTTTTTATTCTAACTTTGAATACCCTTAGAAATTTCCATAGTGAAAAAAACATACAAACACATACTCTGTCGTGCCCTTAGCTCCCATGCAGATCTCAGTTCATGTCATATTAAGTAAAATTCAGCCTCGGTCTGGGGCCCGGGGGGAACAGGCAGACTTACAGAAGAAGCGAGGAATACCAGCGGTCGAGTGCGGGAGGCCTTTCCTTCAAACATTTTGGACTTGGAAACGATGATGAAGTAACACCACACACCTGTGAGAACGGTCCAGCTCCAGAGCACTGACACCGAACGCCGCCGGGGGTGTGGGCGACGGGAGCGCTCAACTCGCTGCTGGTGGGACAGCTGCTCTGCATGATCCTGTAACGCTGGGTCCGTGTCGTAATGGACAGTGGAGGGCAAACGTAGGTTTACAGTTATAGCACAAACAAATAATATAATAATTAATAAATAACAATACAAGCATGCACTGTGTCACATGTACTCACAGATGTAAAGCTACTTTTGCCCTCCTCTGCATTGGTCCAAACCCTTAGAAAGCACAAAACCCAGGAATGAGCCCTAATGTAAGCGTTAGACTCTGCGGGGTAACGATGGGTTGACGTGGTGAGCCAACGGTGACAAACATACCACTGTGGTCGGGCACGTTGATAATGGGGGAGGCTCCGCATGCGTGGGGCGGGGAGTACACAGGGAATCTTTGTACCTTCCCATCAGTTTTGTTGTGAATTTAAACCGATCTAAAAAACAAAGTCTATTTCAAAGGGACAATTGACATCATCTTTCAAGAGATATTCTACGGTCTCCCAAACGGACAGAAACCTTCCATGTGAGAAGAATCGAAGAGGCTACTTGTTGCCAGTGTTGGGGACTGACTAGTAACTCATTGAAAACGAGCATCTCTACAGACACACGTGCAAAGACACCTGCGAGGCACACGTTGACCGGCTACAGTATAACATGGAAGAACAAATGAACATGTGTGCTGTTTGTCCCACCCACGAAGGCACACACAGACTGCACACATGTGACCAGGCCTAGGACAAACACTAGCACGGCCACTGGGATGTGTGCAAATGTCCAAACCCTCACAAGGCATGAGAACGATCGCTTCCCAGACGGTGCTGAAATCCAAATACAAACGAATGACTGTAGGAGTGCTGAACATTCACGCGTATAGAGGAGAAAGGCTTTGTAGACGAAAATGACTCTCAAATGTCCACCTTAGTACTCCTGAATATCTCTGTAAACTTGAGGATAAGTTTAAAGCTGTGTCTCAAAAAGAAAGTCAAACGAAAAAAGAGAGTGTTTGACTTTCTTGTGTTTAATTCCACACCGCACATTCCGTCTAGGAGAGCCCATCTGAACTAAAGTGCCTCACTTAGTGCCTCTGTGCTAATGACTCCCAACTCTTTCTCACTAGTGCACGCCTCTCCCCTAAGCTGTAGACCTGTATATCCAACTGCTTACTGACTATCTCCTCTCGGACATTGTATCGTAGTTAACGTACAGACTCAGCTTATGTTTTGCTGGTGTAACAATTCAGAGGTAGAAGGCACTGCCATCCTCACCATGGGCTTTTCATTTCTGAGCTGCGGTGGCTGTTTCAGTTCTGGTTGCCATCTTTCAACCAGCGGTAAGGAGAAAAAGAGTCAGGAGAGTTCACACCCAGTCCTTCTCAGGGCAGGACACACATTGCTTCTTCTCACACCCCCCTGACGAGAGGTCGGTCACATGGCCACTTTCTGCAAGAGGAGCTGGAAAGTAAAGACTTTAGCCGAGTGGCCATGTGCCGGCTAAAACTATTCTTACAGAAGAGCAGAAAGGCACTGGGGGATAATTGGAAGTCAGCTATATCCTCAGATACTTCAAACTCAATATAAGTAAAAGTAAACTCATCATCCTCTTCGCCTCCTCTCCCACAGCTGTGCCTCCTCCAATCCCCAGCTGGAGAAATGATGCACCGTGTACCCAACCACCCAAGTAGGTTTGTGAGATTAAATATAGGATTCCCAGCTGAATTTGAATTTCAGTGAAGGAATCATTTTTTAAATCAGTATGTCCCAAATAGTGAATGTATTTTTATTTGCTAAATCCAGCAATCCTACACCCAAGCCAGAAGGCTTAGAGCCATCCTGAATTCCTCCCTGTTTTTCCATTTTCACTTGCCTTCCAAATCCTGCTGATTCTTTTCTGTATTTCTCATTCTGTCCTCTCTCCTCCGTCTCCGCTGTGACTTCCCTGGTCTGGGCCATTGCCCGCCCCCCTCTAAAGCTCCCGTAATTGCCTCCCACTTGGCCTTCCGGTTTCCGGCCTTGCCCCTTCTAATTCATGCTATGCACACAGGCAAACTTGTCTTTCAAAAAGGAAAACCTGACCGCAGCACTCCCCTGCTTAAAATCCTTCCCTGCCTCCCCTTGGCTTTCAGGATAAGCTCCAGACTGATCAGCTAAGTCAGTAAAGCCCCTGGTCATTTGATTTCTCTCTCCCTCTCATCCCAGCCCTCTCAAGCTCTAACCCATTACACGTGCTGCAGGCATGGCAAGCATCTGGGACCCAAAAGGGTACCACACCATCCCTTTATGGTGTGTGTCTATACATTCTTATTCCTACCACGGACCCCACACCCACCCTACTCTTCTCCTTTGCCTGGCTAAATCTTACTCATTCTATTTAAAAACCCATTTAAATGTCACTTTCTCCAAGAAGTCTCTCTAACTTATTGTTTTAAGTATATTTTTGCCCCCATAGCCCTTGACAGACTGTATTGCAGCAGCTGATTCTGTGTGTTTCTCCAACTGCACTTTACGTTCCTTTGGGGCAAGGACTGTGTCTTGTCTATATAAAGTCAGCAACATCAGTACTACATCAATACAGTATTCAGCACTAGTAAACAATTAATTACTGTTTGTTTATATGAATGATTGTTCTTTAGCTTAATATGTTGCTACTCCCATTCCTGGCTAATCCAGCATGTCTTAGTCAGACACTCCCCCCCCACCCTGCCCCACCGGTTTCCAGATATGGACCCTCCTGCATCTGTAGCCTCACTGAAACTCTGGGCTTTGATTTCCGTGGCTCGACCGTGATAAAAAAGCCTTTTGTCCACTCCATTACGCTCTTACCTAACGGACCTGGGAATAAGGAAATGACACCTTATCGAATGAGGCCCTAGCCAGTTCCCCATCCAGGCTGAGTTTCAGATCATCATTCCAGCTGACATCAGACAGCTGTTAGTTGGGAGATTTTCTCCTGCCCTCCCAACCCCCACAATTTGCCTGTAGCCCTCCTTCACCCCCTGGGGAACAACTGTTTGTTTGTTTGTTTGTTTGTTTGTTTGGGGCCACAGCACTGCTTAGCAGGAACAGGCAGCCATGGCTTCTTAAGGCTGTGATCTAACTCCATCTGACAGGTGGGTTTCGGGGTGTCTCTGGGGCCGTGGCCTGTTTAGTGGATTTACCACTCTAAACTCAATTACAGGAGACTTTCACGCTCCACAGGCCATTCCAGTCCCTTTTTGATAAAAACTCTGGTGAGTAAATAAGTCATGATGGTGATAGGGGCCGCCATTTAATATTCATTGAAGTACACATGTTTGGAAATTGGAAGCAGAGTTTAATCCGTTTTCATAGTTATATCAACATGAAGCTTTAGAAAGGATCCTTCCTTTTCTCCAGCAGCCTTGTCACTTTCTTGTTTGGACAGGGTAAGGTAAACTGGGCATGCATTTTATTTTAATTAGAAATACCTAATGATACAGTTATTAAAGTGTGAGTTTGAGATCTGTTAATTTTCAACTCAGAACCAATTCTTGCATTTCATTTAAACTCCTGGGAGAGGTAGGCAACAGATACGTCACTGCTATTTCTGGCAGCCAGATCTTTGGCTTTGCAGCAGGAGCTCAGCAGAAGGAAGAGGTTGGGAATACGGTGATCTCGGCCCCAGTATCTTACGATTTAGGAGAATGTTTCATAGCCATCCCAAGTAAATGCAGAAGTGCCCCTTTTAAAATAAAGGTAAGATTCACAAAATGACAAGTGTTCACGCTTGCCAGTGAGTCACAGGGCTGTTCACCGAGGGATGACATCTGGGGGAACGGTTAACAGTGAGGGGTGGGGGGCATTTGTGCCGTCCCCTCCACTCCACTTTATTTTTTACTAGGGATGAATGTTTAAGTATGGTGCCGTGGTTGAAGGCATCGCTTTTAATAATGCAACATATGGCTTCCTGAGGGGACAGCAGTTGATTTGGAAACTGAATATGGTGCACTCTAAATTCCCCTCCCGGAGGATGGCGGACTGACTAAGTGCCACAAGCAAGCATGGGGACTCATTCTGTCAAATCAGCTGGCTGCAAAGGCCCCGTGTGGCGTCTCCTCCAGTCTCCGGGAGCTAATGTGAGCAGACACTCGTGACATTAGACGGTGCAGCAGGCCTGGCATGAAGGAACAGTCACCATCCACAAACAAGGTGGTCTTTAGATGACAAGGATGAAGAAATCAGTGCAAATTTGTTAATGTAACAACTTGGAAAAGTATGCTTTAGAAAAAAAGCTACTCTATGGGGAGAGAGGATCAAGAGAAAAAGAAGGCGACAACAGCACGCGGAAGCTTTCTGTACCTTTTGGGCATCGCCTTTTCTCCTGGTCCTTCTTCTAGACTGGGGGGGCTTCAGTTAAGTGAGCGAGTCCCGGACTTCGTCATTCCACAAGCCACCGTTCCACCTAAAACTGAATAAAGTAAAGAAAGAGTAAAGAAAAGAAAAACAATGAAGAGAGAAAAGAATCTGTGCCTTTGCCTCAACTTCTGGCTTTCTAAGTGAGAACTGCGAACTGTCTGATCTTGGTGCTTTAGTCCTGGAGAAGACTGAAGTGACTGTCACCAGGAAGAGACACGGTGATAAGACCACGCTACCTCTGTGTCTGATGCCAATATAAGTAGATGTCTATAACTGCATCAAGTATTTTAAGAATTATAGCATTATAAGGGAAATGTAGTTATTAATATCAGATAGACAAATTTGACTGTGTTGGCTGTCTTGATTCAGAGACGTGGTTTTGCCAGTTTTTTCCCCTTCAGTGAGGCCAATTTAATAAAAATAGAAATTTGGTATAGCATGGCCACTCCATATTTAATTGAGAAAATAACATGACATACCTTGAAGTATGATATGATATGCTGACTCAGCTCTTCCATGGCAGCTGTGAGAACACAGGCTCAGGACAGAGACTCCTGAGTTCAGGGCCCCGTTCTGCCACTTACTGGTTTGTGATTTGGGGAAAGTTGTTTGGGAAAATCATTTACCTCATAAGATTATTCTGAAAACACTTGCCTCATAAGAGCATTGTAACAGAAATTAATGTATGTGAAGTTCTGAGGTCAGTGTCTGGGATGTGCTAAACACATCCTAAATTTGGCCACAGTTATTATTTAAATGAACCTGAGTTCCAGAGGTTCTTACTGACTGTAACTAAAAAGAAGGGTCAGACAAGCTTAGGAAGAGGTTTAACATAATTAAACATTTTTAAACCACAGTATTTCTCAAAGCCTTTGCTATGCAAGTATATACATAATGAATATCCAAGGAAGAATTTACTTTCCAGTATTGGCCGTATAACCCTTTTCTACAGCTGATGCTGCTCCCCAAGTGAAAAACAACAGTATTCCTAACATCTGGCTTAGAACTCAAAGGAAATCTTGAGTCATGGGGCCCGAACCACTAGGACGGTAATTTAAAGCATGGTAATTGGTTACCGTATCAACCTCATAGGTCTTAAAATACTCCCTTTGTAACAGCATTTTGTAAAGTGGGACTGGCAGAAGGCAGAAGAGTGTATGCTTAAAACACAGACAGACCTGGGCTTCAACCTGTCAAACGAGCTTTTTAATATCTCTAAGCAGCAGTGTCCTCAGCTGTAAAAGGACAGTAATGGTGACACTCCCCTCCCAGGCTTGCTATAGGAATTCGGTAAGGTGATGCCTGGCTTTTAGCTATTACTGATGTATATACTCCAACAGAGAGGCTAGCATTTGTCAGCAAATAATGAGTTAGTCATTCTGTTCTCAACCAACTGCTGTACTTATTCAGAGCCCTTGGTGCCTCTAAGGTTGCAGTAAAAGAAAAAGTGCCGGAATGGGAATAAGCATCTGTGGGTTTTAGAGCATCCTTTGTGCCTAAGTAGTTAGTTGATGGACATACACGACATGTTTAGCAAGATCAGCACACCCTCTGTGCTCAACTTTCTCTTCTGTGAAAAACAACCACCATATAACAGCAGCACACCTTGCCCACTTGCCTCAGGGTCATTGGGATGATCAGAAACGCTTATGTGCTATGATTTTCTTAAACTATAAAGGCCTATAGCTTTTTCAGAAATAACTTATTGTATGTTTACTATAGTCCAGGCACTATACTAGGTCTTACATGTAGTACCTCATTCCAATCCTCACTATGAGGTGGGTATTTCTATACCTCCTTTAGAAATGAGGAGACTGAGGTTCAGGGAGGCTAAGTATCACTAATATCCCCCAAGGTCCCCTGGCTAATAAGGGGTAGAGCCAAGAATCAACTCCAGATCTGTCTGACTCCAAAGCACTTAGAACCACTATGCTTTAAAAAATAACATTAAAATACACTTTAAAATCAGTACTGCCCACATACAATTCATCTCTGTACCAGGTTCTACAGACACGTTTTTTGATGTTGTAAAAAACCGTAATTTGGACAATGGTCACTAGTTAAATGAATGAAGATGAAGCACTGGGTAGAAAAGAGAATGGTCAACACAGGATCCAGTGTCTTAACTGGATGATTAATTATAGGCACTGGCTACGTTGACTACCTTTGCCTGTGACCCAGGTATATCTGACCAGCACATGTTTGAGGGCACAGACTCCCGCTCCCGGATGACGAGTTGACTGGTGCAGCAAGCAGCTTCATGGACTGCAGCAGAGCAAGGACTGTCAGAGAAGGAAAATCCGTATTAGTGATATGCTATGAAACACTTTTTGTTAGTTACATACATTCCTTTACTTTCATTTCCTAAGAATAGCTCAGCTGTCAAAGCATTTCCAAGATTTCCATAGATTCGTCAAATACTGTGCGATCGAATTATTGCTCTGAGAGAAGCTACAATTAAAACACATTAATCATTGTAACAAAGGATCCTTATTGAGGCTGACAAAGGTGGTAAAATCTGATGAATAATTAGTCTGGTTAATCTTTTAAAAGTGAATTAAACTGCTAACAAGTTAAATCACTGTGATTTTCAAAATAAGCCTCCAGGGTGAGTAGAGAATGGGAATATTATCATCATTTTAAAAAGATATTTGCCTTCTTTTTCTCATCTCTGGGTTTGCACTGGAAGCCCAGGTTAGAATTAGGGGACCCTGAGGATCAGCTGGGAAAATGAGGTTGGTCAAAGTGTGAGGGCATGTTCTTCACTCCCCCAATGATCTCTCAGTGTTTCTAAGAGAGTCACCGAGGGGATGGAAGAGGAGCCATGCATGACCTTTAAATCTGACCCAGAACTTACATGGCACCTGCTTACCAGCCATTCTCAATGGCCTCAAGTGGATCCACCATGTAATTCTGATTTTGTCCCCACTGTAAGCCAACAAACCTTGACAATGTCACTCTGGTATAGTTTCCCCTTATGGCCCTTTCTCCAGTCAGATGGCTTATCCTTCCAGACACCTCTCCTCTTTGCATTTCAATTACTGTGGGAGATCTGCCGTACTCTGAAATTAACAGAAATGGGCAAATTTGAACTCATAAGCCATGGGAAACTGACAGAAGAAGACTTTTGAGCTAAAATCTTGACTCTGGCTGAGCCTCCACAACTCGGGAGTTTTAGTGTATGCTGTGATGAAGGGTCTGGACCCCTTCTGGAGGGAAGGACTTATTCCCCCAGCTGCTGGGAGAGATGCTAGATTGGGCCCTCAGCTGTTAGCCCAGAGTGAATACAAACTGAACACCCTCTCCAGGGTCACAGTTCCTTCCACGGGGAGCTGACATCCAATTACTGACCAACATGTAGGTGTGAAGACTAGGCCAACTTGGGACAACTGAAGGGTCATCCTGTTCCCACAGCTCCCTGCGGGGCTGGCTAACGTCTTTGTTGGGATGGCACCACTGCCCAGGTTCTGCCTTGGGGCCTTGACAAAAAAGTCTGTTAAGAGAATATGTAATACCCATAAACAGGACTGTGCCCTAGGATCTGCCCAATCACTCTGCAGCAATTTCCCAGCCATTTAAACTCTTTAATGTGCTAGTGATACTGTTGTCTCAGGTCACTCTGGGAAAAAGCCAAATTCACAATGCTCTTGCCAGGATCAGATCCCTATCTCTCTCTTAGGTTTGAACCTAGAAAATCCTAACAAGACTATACGGTATCAAAGAAAAATTTGAGAAACAGGCTAAAATTGGGCCTCAAAGAAAGTTGAAGTTGAATTGGCCCCAGATGAAGGAAGTTCTATTAAATCCCTTTAATGTAAAAAGTCTACTGTGAGGAAACTGTTGAACTCTTCTTTTTTTTTTAAAATTTTTTTTTTTCGAGAGAGAGGGGAAGGGAAGGAGAAAGAGTGGGAGAGAAATATCAATGTATGGTTGCCTCTCGTGTGTCCCCTGCCGGGAACTGGCCTGCAACCCAGGCATGTGCCCTGACTGGGGAATCGAACCACGATACTCTAGTTCGCAGGCCCGTGCTCAATCCACTGAGCTATGCCAGCCAGGGCTGAACTCTTCTTTGACATCCTATTGAAACAAACAAGGTAGAAGCAGGAAGGACTTTGACTAGGACTTACTCAAGTTCACTGAAACCTTTAGAGAGGTCAGAATACTATGCATTTATGTGTGTACTTTACTGTTTTCTTTTTAGGGTAGCTTTTAAAATATTTTGTTTTATGACTATGTGATGTATTTATAGGACTTCAAAGTCAAATCTACAAAACAGTACTCGTTCAGAGAAGTCTAACTATCTCTGGTCCTCTCATTCTATTCCCTTCCTCTCCTATATGAAGCATTTTTATGTTTTTACTTTGTTTTGGCTTACATTCCTTTTAAAAATCTTTCTTCCTTTTTACTCTCTATTTCTCTTCAGTCATTCATTTATCTATTGTGCTTTTCCCTTTTGTGTTTTCCTAATGTAGTCTTCATTTCTGAAATAAATCTGTCCCTTTATTTCTAATTCTTTCCTGGATATATCACCTCATTTGACAGTGACCAGAGGGGAGAGGGGAGGGAATTTCAGAGGAAAAGGGGGAGGGTCTACAGGAACAAGTATAAAAGACACATGGACAACAACTAGGGAGTGGGGTGGAAATGGGAGTGAGGTAGGGAGGGCTGGGCAGGTTGGCTGGGGTGGGAGTAAAATACAGAAAACTGTACTTGAACAACAATTAAAATAAATAAAAATAATAAAAAATCTAAGTTGTCATTCTTTTACACCTTCTACTATTTTCTCAATTTTTTAGCTTGCTTGAAGTATTAGGATACAGTTTTTGTCTATTTTGTGAGCCTATCTTCTCCCTGGTTTTAATGGGGGGAGGGGTGAACACCTTTCCCTGGGGTCCCAGCTTCACTGACCCTCATCTTTGCTCCTCTCTGTGCACCTGCACCCATGACCACGATTAGGAACTGATCGTCTGATTCGCCCCCTTCACTCCTCCAGCAGTTTGCTCTGCTGATTGCTGTCTCTTCTTTTCTCTGTACTTTGAACCTCCCCCCTCTACTGGAACTTTTCCTTCAGCCTGCAAACATGTTTGTATCTATTCCAACTTTAAACATTAAGACAAACCACACCCCTCCCCATTTTATGTCCCCCTTTCACCTCTAATTTTTTTCTCAGCTAAGTTTTGTGAGGTCTGTCTCCGATATTTCACTTCCCATTCCCTTGTCAATCCATGCCATGCAGCCTGTGCCACATACCTTTGCTGAAATGCTCTTGCTAAGGTCCCCACTAAATTTCCTGTTGTTAATAAACCCAATGGCTATTTTCAATTTTCACCCGTGTGACTTTCTCCTCTGGGGCACCATTGAGCACTTCCTCTTTTTGAAATGTTCTCCTTTGCTAGTTTTCTTTCTCCAGTTTTCCCCTCCTCAGCCAGCCACATAAATTTGCTGTTCTTGGGCTTCCATCCTTGGCCCTTGTCTCTTCCCATGTTGCCCACTTTCCCTGGGTGATCTCAATTACTGCTTCAACTTCCATTACTAACAATTGTCTGTTTACTTAATTATTTATTTATACCTCACCTTATTAAAAAACAAACTTTAGAAATCTCACTAAAATATACATTAAAAATTTGAGAAAATCTATACCAAATTGGGGAGAGGGGATACAAATAAGGTAGAACACATAATTTGGTTCTACGAGTTCTTAATTTTCAGCTCTGGCTGGTGTGGCTCAGTGGATTGTGTGCTGGACTGTGAACCAGGGGGTCACCAGTTCCATTCCAAGTCAGTGCACATGCCTGGGTTGTGTGGGCCAGGTCCCAGGTCGGGGACGCATGAGAGGCAGCCACACATTGATGTTTTTCTCCCTGTCCTTCTCCCTCCATTTCCCTCTCTAAAAATACATAAAATCTCTAGAAAAAAATTTAAAGAGCGTTCTTAGTTTTCAAACTCTCTTTAACATCAGACTTCTTTGTTAAAAATGAAATCTCATCTGGCATCCCAACGCTTAAACTGATCCAGTTGAAACAGCTCTGGTTGAAAGGGGAAGAGCCCTCTTCTCCCACCTCCTGTCTATCCCCACCTGCCTAGCAGCCTCTGAGATTCAACAGAACAACTCTGGGGAGCCACTGTCCTAACGTAGATTCAAGGGTATATTCAGAGAATAAAGTCTTGAATGAAGTGCTTTAGATAATTCTTCATAAAAATTAGGGGCATAGGGAAACAGTTTTTCAACAATACACTAAGCAAATTAGTACAACTATTTTGGAAGACACTTTGGTAATATGTATAAATATAAGGACTGGACTTTAATTTCTCCTGCTTGTTCAATAACTATTTGTTGAATGAATTAAAGAGTGAATTCCCTCCCATGACACCTAAGGAAACAGAGCAAATAAATATTTAGCCTACTCTACACAGAAGTCTTTTGGTAGAATTCCCAAAGCAGGACATTTCTAAATAGAAAGATTTCTAGGAGGAATTCCCATAACAATCTGTGAGAATCAGAAGAACCAACTTTGACTTTACCTTTTCTCTATTCTTCCAGTCCCTGCCTCTCTCTACCCTTTAATATCATAGAAATATCCCAGGCAAATTTAATGTAAAGATAAGAAACATGAAAATACACTGGAAATATCTAAAAACAAATTGAATTTCAAGAAGAATGGGGTTTGGGGGAAAAGAGAAGACCAAGTGTGAGAAATGTCCTCTACCTTAAGGCAGACCTGTGAGGAGTGAGCCCTTCCCTCCTCAACCCTGGACCTACCAGGTACAAACTTCTCAGAATTAGGAAGAGTGAGGGGGCAGTAAACCTGGGTCTTCAAAGGCTGAGGTAAAACCAGAGGAAAGAAAGTAAGACTGAATCCTGGGGAGAGGATCAGAGAGCCTCCAGTTCTCTGAGGATCCACCACTAGTCTAGGTCAGCAGGTAACAGGAAGCCAGACATCCTGGCTGGGAAGTATCTCAAGTTCCCTTTGTTTTCATCACCTTGTGAGTGATAAACTCTCCAAGTGACTCCTGTTCCCAAGAGCTACTGGGTCACTCGTGTTCAGGTGTGATAACCAATCCACAGGATGGCTCCCGGGGAACCCTAAGCAGTACCGCAGCTGTGACCATCAGAGTTGCTCCAGGAAGGTAAAATGTGATATAATATGAATACCCAGTGTTGATACAAGTGTTCAGGTGAATAACCGAGTCTGCTTTCCTGCAGAGAAACACAGTAGTCCACACACATAATGGCTACATTGATTAAAATGTTATGTTTTGAGGCACAAAAAGATTCCCTACATAATAGTCAGACTGAGAACTTGCATGTCAGGCTGAAGGTTAAAATAAATTAAACAGATGAGTAACAAACCCTTCTGGAGAGGAGCTTATAGTGGAAACACTGACGGGATATAATTATGATCTGGATTTTGATCGCTACATTCTATTGAAGATACCTCCAGTGTACAGTAGTTATGTAAAATACCTGTACAGTGTTGTCAAGTGGCATTTTAGAAAAGCATTAGGGTAATTTTTAAGAGCTTCAAAACCACAGTGATGGTTAAATGTGAAGACCAACACTGCGTTCTCTTTCCTACAAAAGAATTCAAGACAGGCGAGGGAAGAGGAGTGACTGGTGGCAATCCACTCAGGTCCCCTGTTTTCCTTCACTTCTAACTGGTTCATAGTCTATGTTGAAGGTCTTCTTTAAGGATTGGTACACAAGTTTAGCATGATAGACAGAATTTTCCTACCTAATTAAACTCAGCAAAAGCTCATGAAATGTCCTGTGACACATACAACATAAGTCACGATTTACTGCTGTCAAGAAATTTACAATCTATTGGAAGAGAGATAACCCAAATGCACAAAGTACCAATATGCAAAGCTATGCACTGTAGATAATACCAGGTCTTAAGGCTCCTTATATAGTTGTGGGATTAGGGAAAACCTATGAAAACAAAGGGCTTAAAAGATGGGTAGCCCCAGCTGGTGTGGCTCAGTTGGTTGGGCATCATCCTGCAAACCAAAAGGTTGTGGGTTCAATTTCTGGTCAGGGAACATGCCTGAGTTGTGGAT